ACATTTTTTTGTAATGACTTAATCATTTAAATTGAGAAAGAATTTGTGGTTAAAAGTAAATTTTTAAACTGTAATCTGAAAATAGAAACAATATACTCGTTAAACTTATCAATTTAATGGAAAGCTTAAATTGTTCAATGTCATTTGATTTATTTACAACTTTATTGTATTTGTTAATTATTACTATTTGTTATTTATATTTTAATTTGATGTTGTTTATTATACTATAATAAACAAAAACAGATCTGTGTATTCCAACTGAACAGAACTTGGAGTTTTTATTTTAAAGGTAATCTAATAACCAGACAATTTCAGAAACCCTAGCGGTAGGATATAAGTCCGAAAAACACAAATAGCAAACAGTTACTTGTCATTACATACACCTACAAGTTTCATCCATCCTCTCACTACACCAAGTCGAGTAAAGTCTCGCCCAAACTAACACCAAAACCAAGTATAAAACATATTTGCATTCAGTTTTTTTTTTTTTTTTAAATTAGTGCAAAAAAGCATAAACAACCATAATCTCTCATTTGGAGATCATGTCATGAATATTTAGACTTGCGCAACAATGCACCAAATAAACGATATTTTCCCTCATGATGTATTTTGTGCATAGTCTATCACACATCAGTCAGATGACCATTAGACATTAATCTATCAGACATCCGTCATATGGCCATAAGACATTAGTCTATCAGACACCCGTCAAATGACCATAAGATATTAGTCTATCAGACATCAGTCAATTGACCATAAGACATTAGTATATCAGACATCCGTCATATACCGTAAGACATTAGTCTATCACACATTCGTCATATGACCATAAGACATTATTCTATCACACATCAGTCAGATGACCATAAGACATTAGTCTATCAGACATCAGTCAGTTGACCATAAGACATTAGTCTATCAGACACCCGTCAGATGACCATAAGACATTAGTCTATCACACATCAGTCAGATGACCATAAGACATTAGTCCATCAGACATCCGTCAGATGACCATAAGACATTAGTCTATCACACATCAGTCATATGACCATAAGACATTAGTCTATATCAGACACCATTCAGATGACCATAAGACATGAGTCTATCAGACACCCGTCAGATGACCATAAGACATTAATCCATCAGACATTTGTCATATGACCATTAGACATTAGCCTATCAGCTGACATCAGTTTTTATAATTTTTGATATTGTCTTGCATATTTGCATTCAGGTCTTTTTTTCTTCTTTTTTTTTTTGAATTATTGTAAAAAAGCATAAACAACCATAATACCCTCATTTGGAGATCATGTCATGAATATTTAGATTTTCGCAACAATGCACCAAAAAAACGATATTTTCCCTCATGATGTATTTTGTAAACTATCTGTTTTGGTAAGTTGAAAACTACGTGTAAAAGGGTAATTTAAGATCAAATTTGTCAAATCACAATCACAAGTAACCTTTCTGCACTAGAATGTGCAGATTATATTGACCTGTTCATTTATCAATAAAATTAACATAATTTTGAAAGGCTTGAGTAATTATACTACTTTTGCAATTTCAAGGGCCGAATAAGGTCTCTTATCATACCTCCGCCTTTGTATTTATTGACACTTGGGTATGATAATTGCTTATATGTAGCAACTCACAGCTTATTCAACAAACGCCACCATGACTTGGTTGTTTTTTTTTTGTCGTATATTACGTACCAAGACACGAATTTAAAACTTGTCACGAGCAACTAACCGACAATACTAGTCGAGCAGGAACAGAAAATGAAAATTTTGCCGAAATAAAAAAATATAAAAAAATTGGCATAAATTCGATTTTATTTTTTTAATAAATGCAAAATTACAAAAAAAGAACTTAAAAAAGTCAATTTTAAAAGACAGCTTTTTTCTCCTCTAGATTTCCTTTTCCGGTATATTTGTCAAGCAATTTTCTTGTTATTATCCATTTTATGTTTTTTTTTTTTTTTTTTTTTTTTACAGAAATTAAGCAATTACGATTTTGCTTGATAGTAGTGCGTTTTAAAATGTACACGACTTGTTTTTCGTACACTGTACAGGATAAATGAACTTTAAATTTATGAACTCGCACGACCTTAAGAAACAATTAATTGTAACCTTTACTGTTAATATATATAATACATTGAATCAGGTCCATTCTCCTGGAAATTTTCACTCGATGGCAAATTGAAATTACATTACAGGTGTTCAACATGTTCAACTTTTTCCGCTACTTGTCTTAAAAGGGTTTGGTAAACTTTGTGAATATGATATCAAATTTACATGCTACAGACTACTTGTAGCATCTTGGTTTTAAAGTAAAATACTTACTAAATAACACCATTGTTGTAGCTTTTTATGGGATATTCTTTTATTTTCGCCGACATAATTTTATTTGGTTTTGATATTCAATCGTAATATTTTTCATCTTTGATTTGAATTATTCTTTGGCACAATTTTTACAAATATATGTGAATTTTGAAAGAGAGACAACCCATAAAAATATTATGACACTGCTTAAATACTGGGAGAACCATGTATTTATGTTATCCAATCCACGAAGAAATGTACACATTCAATCAGTCACGTCTCAGTCATTACAACTGAACGGACGTGCTGGGTCAGCTCTCCTTTACCCGCTATCTTCGATGAGGGTTTACAGTTAGATGGGTCAACGACTTAATACTTTCGATGACAGAAACCAATCCAACGCTGTACAGACTACGTTAGGCTATAATCCGCGTAGGGCAAATTCCCGCGTCAACATACACTCCAAAACCCATTATGGATGGGGGAGTGGTATGCCGAGTGACGTCCGAGGGCTGTATCCTAGGTGTTAGATGATGGACCACCATTTCACTGTCTCACGACTTTGGTCCTGATAATGCTTCCTGTCATCGTTAATACTACGTCCGAGACTCATCTACCAGTACTCCATCATCGAGGTTAGCGGGCTGCCAAGCTGACCAATCTGGCCCTGAAAGCAGCCGTGGTGAAGACATAACATCAAAATAGTCAACAAAAGAAAAACCAAAACAACTCACAAAACCAAGATGGCGGCCTACCAAAATGGCGTCCACTACCTGTTCCTGACCGATGGCACAAAATTATTTAAATGCTCACCAAACGCCTTCGGGCACCGAGCCGACCGTGCGAGGGATGTATATCCAGTCAAGGTCGTAAAACACTTCCAGTAGTAGTAGAAATGTACACTTCAGAAGAAAGAGCCCATCAAGAAAAGAATTAACAATAGGAAAGTATTGTTTGTTTCAAATTTTGGAAGTCTAATATATGGGATTTAAAAGAAGAAAGGTCAATTTTAACGTACAATTTAGTACAAGGTAGTCCAGGCGAGAGAAAAAATCATTTGTATTTTGTATATTCACAAAAATGTGGATTATTTACATGAACTAAATTGTTTAACTATCTGCAAGTATTGCTAACACAATTTGTCAATTGGTGTATCGTTGTGTCGTTATGAACTGTAATAGTTATTCCTAACTGAAAATAAAGAAGCAAATCTGCAAAAAGAGCGACACAGCTATAAAGTATTAAGACATCATCATAAAGAAACCGAAACCAAACATATCATGATAAGTATAGAAACTATAAATGTGATTAAACAAACAGATAGAAAGACTAACATCGCACCATGACACTTACAATTTGAATGTTATAAATTGTTTACCCATCTGAAATCTGGGATTGCTACTTTATTGTAAAAAAGTACATTTTACATTATAAAATTACTAGTCTAACTGGTTTTCACATGTAATCTCTGTTTACCAATGTTGCTATTTCATACAAATACTGTTAATTACGGCTCGACCGACAAGTCGGCAGTGCCTTTTACCAATCCGTTGTTCTGTCTACCCGTCTGTAAATCCGTCCGTCAACACTTCTATGGCATATCAAGTCAAGATTTCCTAATTTCTAGGGAAAGAGTTTGTATCTATTATTAGGAAGGTCGTCAGTTCGAATTCTATGCAAATTGAAAAAAAAAATTATGAGAAAAACTAAGCTTTATTTTTGTTAAAACTCATATTTTTTCTTAGTGCTAAAAACCTAGGTATAATATGCTGTTTCAAATTTATTACCGGTGTCAAAAGTTTCTTTTATGAAATTTGATGAAAAATTGGTGGTAAAAACGTAATGTTTGTAAAAACAAAAACAATTATTTTTAAATATTTTTGTTTCCAAGGATTTCAGCTGAACAATAAAATAGATGTGTAGCTATCATATGCTATCCCACATTGATTCCCAGTGTAAAATTTGCGATAAATGAAATATAAAAGATAAATTTGTTGTAAAAAAAAATGTTTGTTAAAAAATTTAAAAAACATCTGTTTGTGCTTGAATTAAAATAAATGATATAAAGGTATAAAATGTTTTTCCAAATTGATTCCCTGTGTCACATTTGCATTAAGAATTTAGCTTTTGTTTTAAAAGGTTCTCAAATTTTGAGAAACATAATTTTTTTGGTGCTTGGATTTCACCGCAATATGTATAAAAGTTGAATATGGTATCAAAAATGGATGCCAGGAGTCAAAAATTATTCATTGGTCACCATTTTTGAAATGGCTGCCAAAATACATAAATTCATATTGCTCGAATTTTAGCAAAACTTTATATCTACTCTGAACAAGACATCCTGAAAAAATAATACCATATGAACATGTAAATTGCTTTGTTTGAATAATACTGTTATAAGTGAATTAACACAAATTCATTTCTCTTGCATATAATCTGACATTTCATCATAAATTCACTACATGTTGTTTTTTTATCAAAGTTTTTAATTAGTTTTATTTTATATACTTTATTTAACAATGGATAGATTCAAATATTGCAATAATGTATTATTAAAACTTTTCGTCGTATGTTGTTATCTGGTAATATATTAACTGGATATCAATACCCTCAGCCTGTCATCTCAATACAATATGATAAGAAAAACCCACGTTATCCATAACAGCTGTTACATTTGTACACTCTACTGTGGTATGAAAACAGTAGTATACAACAGCATTTGCAAAACGATTGTCTACCAGGCATATATAACAACAATCCGGAACAGCGAAGTTTTTTTGTAATACTGTGCGTCTTTGCTGCTTGTTTGTTTGCTGCAGGTAAGTATTTTGTAAAATAAGTTTTTTGTTACAATACTCAAGCTAAAATATAATAGATCTCTGATTTATTCATGCTTATAGGGTCAAAATCTTACATATTGAGGAGTCTATATCAAAGAAGTATTTTTTAGTTTAAATTAATATTTTATCGGATTTTTTGTTCAAGCATGAGGTTTGGGGAAGTTATCCTGCTAACACCCAAACACATTATTATTGTTTTTTTTCTAACATTTTCAACCCCCTTCGACGAAATGAGACCATAAAACAATAAATATTCTTGCTTAACATGTCAAGACCTATCCATTGCGCCCGGGTTTAATGCCCATTTAACCTCGTGTAACATTGTTGAGTATCACAAATGGATTCAGATACCGCACCTCTACACCAGAGATATATTTCGTGATAACGAATCTGGGGAATTAGTTCTTTGTAATGCAAGAACACGGAGTAAATTCGTTATGACAGATCGTATTATTCGTTATTGTTGATGGGTAAATTTTGTAAAAACGAAATGTAACACTTTGGTTTTCAGTTTTGATTTTAAGATATTGAAAACGAAAGCCAAAAACACTTTCGTTTTTTGGTTCTTGTTTTCGTTTATGATTTCTCGAAACGAAAAGCGAATGGACCAAAATATACACAGACCAATAAGTATCAAGAATTTACAAATGACTTCAATGATATCTTACTCAAATTATTACTTTTTTATCATTTAGGATGAGGGTAACAGGATTACTTGTGATTGCGATGTGCGTATTGTATGTCAGAGCTTTGGAAAAGAAGTGCGATTGTCATAACTTGAACATAAAAGAGATTCTTGAAAATGTGAAATGCCGTTTAGAAGAAATGGGACAGAGAGAAAACGGTGAGGTCTCATTATATCAAAGTTAGAGCAACTACTTTCATTTTCTATTTACAGAAAACGCATTTCATGAATATTGCTTTTATATATGCTATGACTATCATGAATTGTGTATGAAATTTGTTGCAGATCGTGTAAATACTTGCACATCAGATGACACGAACTTAGTCGCATAATACTCTAATTACAAGAATTGGTTGATATTCATTCTCTTTCTGTTGTGGCTTGTTATCTATTTCCCGTATTAAGATATACTTCCCGTATTGTGTTATGAACAATTTGATAAAACAAATACGTTTATTGGATTGGCCGTTTCTGCAATGTGTAATGGAACTTCGACATTTACATTGGCTATTCGTTACAAACCCTTTCAATACCGGAATGATACAGACACCGGACTGTGAACTACAACCTATATAATTATTTAAAGGTAAAGTCGAAAATTAGATAAACAATACTATATCAGAGGAGTTTGACAATAATTTGGTAGAAACTTGTATTAAGAAGTGGCCATCTAGTCACATGTGCAAAGGGGAGATGTGGGAATACGTTTGCTAATCCAGGAAAGGGGGTGTTCCGGGGATAAGATCCCCTCCCCCTTTTTTCGATTTTTTCTAATCATGCGAACGTTTCATGGTGTTCCCCCCGGTCCCTTTAAAATGTCGGGATCCGCGCCTGAGAATATAAGAAACACAAGACTTTTGTTTAGTTGTGTTATGTTGGTAGATGAATAACCTGTCTTCTTTCATGATAGTAGATATAATAAAAACTGAAAATGATCTGTCCTCCTTTTTTTCAAAATAACCATAATATATACACAAGATTTAACTATAGTATTATCGAAAAAGTTGAGTTTAATCCTAAAGACCAAATCATTAAAAGAAGTTAGCGACAATTCCATTGAAGCAGAGGTGGGGATAGATGACTAACTGTTAATATACAATTTTTGATTACATGTACTTGTATTGCATGAATGATCTTTCTTTTTTTGCAAGGGGCACAAACATGTTTTATGTTTTGAATTCGACTGTTTAAAAATTGTGTTACATTACAGTCAAATGCAGAAAGTACTTTTATTCTTGTTTTCCATTGCAGAACACAAATGCAGTGGTACTCACAAAAAGAGTGTTGCATTTCATGTCAACCTTAAAAAAGATTTAAGAAATTTGACACCAAACGCGGTTGTAATATTTGACCAAGTAGTTCTGAATATTGGGGAGGCTTACAATTCATCAAACAGATTGTTTACTTGTCCTGAGGATGGTGTATATAGCTTTACTTGGACTGCATTGACTTCACCTAACAACAGTTTTGAGAGTGTTTTTGTAGTCAACGGTACAATTGTTGCAGCAAATCGTGCCAGCGCTTACAAAAACAAGGAGTATCAACCTGCAACTAAAACCGTAGTAGTTGAACTAAAGAAAGGTGACATAGCCAATGTGGCAGGTTATAAAAACTATGCAAAGCACATGTACGGGTTCTGGTCATCGTATTCGGGTTTTAGGGTTTTCTAATAAATGTAATATAACTGTTACAGTGTATATGTGTGTTTCGATTTGTTTATTTTCCTGACATAGCGAAAGAAAGTAAAGGGACAAATCAGTTTTCTTTTCGTCAAACGTCCAATTTAAAACATTACTATATTGTTACACGAAGTTCGTTGTTTTTGTTGTCGCTTGTTGTGATCTACATGTAAGTCACAAATAATATCAAAATACTAAAAATAAACCAAACCTCAATGATTAATTCATTTTTTTCCTCAGCCCATGATTTACTCTTTTTGTCTGAACATCCTCTCTTTATGTCTGACCAGACGGAAGATACTAAGAGGGAATTTAAACTAAGAATTCCAAGTGAATCTGAAAACGCCATGATAAAAAAAAACGAAAAACGAAAAACGAAGAAAAGACAAACATGTCCACAAAACACTACATAGAAAACAAAACTCTGAGAAACATAAACCCCTACTAAAACCCGGGCTTGATCTTTGAGGCTCTGAAAGGGTTAGCAGTCGCTGCTCCACACATGACAACCGTCTTACGTTGATAACTCGATAACATATATTATATATTCTAGCTGAAAAATTAAATTATGCATCCTAAAAAAGTGCCTAAAATTTACAAATCAAAGTTTGAAATTTCTATGGTGTCAAATTCTTTATAGAATTAAAGACCATTTGTTCAGAGGACGATTGAATGTCTTACCACCTCACATGTTGATATTTAAGGTTTAAATGAACTTTCATTTTGCTCTGTCCTTAGTTTTGTAGTTTGTGTTTTGTATACTATTGTTTGTCTTTTGGTTGTTTTTTGTTTTTTGCCATGGCGTTGTCAGTTTGTCATCAACTTATGACTTTGACTATTCCTTTGGTATCTTTCGTGCCTCTGTTATATAGATATGCAAAATCTCTTTTTATGACCCCCAAAAATATATTTCGTTAAAAAGATTACTTATTTTGCAAAGATTCGGAAAATATGTAGTTTGTACTTTTCTATGACATAAGGGAAATAATCAGCTACTTCGGTTTCAAAATGTCACTTCCGGTGTCAACTGATTGCTTACTACTTACTGAATCGAAAAATATAAGGTTTCTATGTGTTTCCCTTTGAAATGAAATAAGAGCGATAATTGGCTTCTTCAAATCTAGAAAATACTACGTTTGGTTCACATGATAGGTTACTTCACACTGATTTTTAAAATATATAATTTCTAGGTATCTTTAATGTATGTGAAGTTAGCGGCCGGTTCGTTATTCGATATTCAATATCCAACCGGCTGCTAGCAGTCAGTTCGATATTCAAATTTCTTAGTTGAAAATGATAAAAAATTGAATATTCGATAACATTAAAAGCATGATGGAGTTAAAAGATTTGTAGGAAATCGTTTTATGACCCCTTCAAGCTGTCGCAAATTCCCGTTGTAAACCCTTATGTAAATCGCACATTTGTCTTTATGAAAAATAGATTTTTAACAATAAAATGCAATCAAAGCAGTACTTTTATACATGATATTTCTAGAAACAAAAACACACGATCACTTTAGTAACATTTAAAAATATAAATGTAAATAATTATGGAAAGCCACAAAAAAAAGAAATTGTCACTTTTCAGCTAAAAATTGTCGAAAATTCAGGTAAAAGGACACAGGGCGATGGCTAGGCCCCCCTGATCTCTCAATCTTTATAAAATTATGCAGATAGTTAGTAAATATAAAGATACAAATGACACCAAAAGGAATTTGGGTAAACTTCCTGTCGTCTATGTTTACGGAGGGCTCAAAGTGCCAGTTTGATATTGAAAACCTACCGGAGACCGCTAAAATGACGGCGAAACCCCCCTGGTCTTTCAATGTCCATAACATTCGGTGATCTTTAAGACTATGTATACATGTATATACAGATCGTACCAAAAGGATCTCCCAGAATAATGTCATCTTCGATATCTACGGAGAGCTTAAATTTTCACTTTTCAGCTAAAAATCGTCGAAAATTCAGGTAAAAGGGCACAGGGCGATGTCTAGACCCCCTGATCTCTCAATCTCCATAAAATTATGCAGATAGTTAGTAAATATAAAGATACAAATGACACCAGGAATTTGGGTAAACTTCTTGTCTTCTACGTTTAAGGAGGGCTCAAAGTGCCAGTTTGATATTCAAAATATATTAGGAAGATTGAGAGATCAGGGGAGGAGGGGTCTCCGGTTTTCGCTATATATATAATTATTTGTATTTATATTTTTAAATGTTACTAGAGTGATTGTTTTTTGTTTTTGTTTCTAGATATATCATATATAAAAGTATATCTTTGATGTCGTATTATTGATAAAAATCTATATTTCATAAAGACAAATGTGCGATTTACATAAGTGTTTATATTTGAGGACAACGAGAACTTACGACCGGATGAAGGGGTCATAAAACAATTTCCTACATATCCTTTCACTCCTTATAACTATGACTATCATGCTTTTAATGTTATCGAATATTTCAAATTTTATAATTTTCAACCAAATTTGAATATCGAACCGACTGCTAGCAGCCGGTTGGATATTGAATATCGAATATCGAATAACGAACCGGCTGCTAACTTCACATTCATGAAATAAACGTCCTTCAAACGTTACAAATATGTTGTCAATCAAGAATTCAAGCATTATGATAATGTCAGTTTCAGAGAACTTTTAGTTGAATCATAGTACGATTTATGACTCTCTAAGACAAGCTACTTGTATCTACGTTAGTCATTCATTTTAATTAAACAAAGCAGGACCAACTCTTTCAATTTGTCTTTTAGTTGGAATGAGGAATACTTGTGTAAAGTGTAAAAAAAGTCATATGTTTTAATACTATTGCACGATGAAAGAGTCAAAGAGTCTAAGATTGTATGTACGCTAACAGATCTTTGATTGTTTTTTCCACATCTGATTAACGCCGCCTCTAGAATATAGAACTTTAAAGCCCGGCATTGATTGCTGATAAAATTGATGTTAATAATTTAAAAAGAGGTCCCCTGGAGCACTTGGAAGACCTAGCAATACAACGTTGTTTGTAAGGACACTTGTGTAATTTAGGTATCCAACACAGTGAGAAAAGATCCAATTCTTCATTGTTGATTGGTATTCAAAATGAACATAGAACAGACCTATGATTTTCTAGGATTATCTCATAAGTAAGTGTCGTGGGATTATATGCTGAATTTCGAAGTGAATGGTCAATACCTTATTCATTTATCCTTCAGTTTATTCAAGGTGATTTACACATAAACGATGTTGTATGGGGCTTTGTCTGCGGGTACAACAATATATTTGCCATGGAGGTAGGACAGGTCCTCTGCAACATTTGGGCCCTTTAAGATGCACTTAGGTGAAATTAAAAAAAATCTAGAATTTAAAATAAATACTTTAATTCAGAAGAGCAGTAGTCAAGGAACAAAATAAGCTAAAAATATTGATAGATTATGAAGCTCCTTTCCGAGATATTTAATTTAAAAAGAAGGCTGGAAAAGGCTGACTCAGACTTTACTTTATATTTGCATTGGTATTATTTGGGTCTCAAATCGAAAGAAAAGAAATCTAGAAACTGCTTAAATTTTGGTAAATGACCTTTCATGAGCTATTGAAGTCGTATATGAAAAGAAAAAATGGGTGTTATGGCATAAAACATTGTACCCTGTATCACAAGGAGTCCGAATATCTGAGAAAAATTCCAAAACCTGACCTAAGTTTATCCTTAAAGATGTCACAACATATAAAGTCAATGTTTGAATTTTCCTATATTTTCCATACACTATTTTAACCGCGCAATAGGGCAATTTAGAATGGTTTGCTCACATTTTGTATCAGGATACTTGTTATTCTTGTGATACGAATATTTAGGATGTAGACTTTATTTTCATTTTTTTTTTATTGTTTGTCCTACTTGCGTATGCATATGCGAATTTAATCAAGAATACTTCTGCTGCAATGTTTTTGAATGTTTTATATGCAAATGTTTTGATAACCATAGGCATTAGTATACGGAAGAAATCTAAGTTTCATTACAAAACGACCGTTCCTCTTGCGTATGTTTGACAGCGGAATGACGAAGTCCAGGTGACCATATTTCTATATACAACTAACGAGGATATTTCTGTATAATAATCACTTATTTTTTGTACATTCTCATATTGAGATAGCATGTCTGCTTGACGTTGAATTTTTTTTGGTAAATCTTCTGTTGCTTCTTAATTAGCAAAATTGATTCCACATTTAAAGTAAAAATAATACTTAATTCAAATTTTTTTTGTCGATCGTTAATTGCTTCTGCTTTTGCTGGAATATTATGAAGCTTCATAATTTTCTATATAACAGACCAACTTGATAAGTTATTCGAGGCAACTTTTTTATTAATATTCCAACATTGCAAATTGTATACCGATATGTTTTTTAGAGTCCAATTTCTATTTCAATTCCTGTAGTTGATATTCAGATAACTGTACATCATATGTTTTTGAATGTATAAAAGTGTTTAAAAATCGCAAAATTGGGATATATTATTAATTTGTTTTCATTCTCATGTGTAGTAATAATTGATTAATATAGTTTAGCGATTGATTTGACAATTTTTGCGGACTTTACCTTCTTTGACTTTACCTTAAAGATCGGTATTTTTTTCTTAATGTTTTTATTCTATATTATTCTATAATTTCGCTCGCTTACGTGTAGCAGCGTACAGTTTTTTCTGTAAATAGTTACTGTAAAGGCAGTAGCTTTAGAAACTAACTTTAACAAATTCAACCATTGTGTTTTAAAGAACTAATTACAATAAAAAAAGCTCTCGTATCCATAGAACTGTATTTACTGAACAGATTACTAATTTAAAGTGTACCTATATACAAATTACAATTTTATAAATCATGCATTTACTTTATACGTGCAACATGTACTGAGGATCTGCAAGTGCAGCGATTAAAAAGTAAAAGAAATATCATTGAATACAATATTTATACTCGTGAACATCTTTCAATGTTTCGTTCAATTCTTCGTATTTGTTTTGATGTTCACA